ATGAGGGTGCCCGGCCTGGGCAGGGGTGAGGACTGCGTTGCCCTCCACCCCATTACCATTCGCTTCCACTGCCGGGGTGACGATCGCGATCGCCCCGAGGCAGCGGCAGTTTGAGTATTGGAGGCAGAAGCCAGGTTTTCACTCTTTGGCAACCTCAGGGTTAATTAACTAGGAAGGATTCGGGGCGGGATGTTGTGAGGATTGGGTTCCCCACCACCACAGCTCCTGCCTCTGTTCACCCAGATTCTGGGAGGTCCAAGGAAAAACCTAGATACTGGAGAAGTCAGATAAGGGGGGAGGGAGGAGATCTCTCTGAGACCCCCAAACCTTAAACCTTGCCCTTCCTATAACCCAAAGGCCTGAGACTCTGCCCAGGCTTCCGTCGGACCACGTGCAGCTCAGGAGAGTGCCCAACCTGGGGGGAAGGGGCGATGTAGAAACTAAAAACAAAAACAGCTTAAGGGATCTTTTACATCCTGGGAATGCTGCCCCCCACTCACCCCCTAAGCAGAGGCTCTGCCTGTAACTGGTACCAGTGGCTCACTGGGACAGGTGCCCAGTTCTGCATGGAAGTCTCTGGGTCTCACTCCTGATAAGATCTCACAATCAGACCCCCACCCTTGATGAACCCAGCCCTCCCCGCCCCCTGCCCCTTCTGCCCCTTCCAGTACCACCTGGGCCTCTCTCAACTTCCTGTCAGAAACGGGCTCCTTCTGTTTGCAAAAGTTGTGATGCATGCTCTCGGCTTTGTCAGGCAAACACATAACCGCATAACACAGTCCTGGGATCCAACCTGTGACCATCTCCCCCAGCTCTGACTGCTCCCCTTGAACACAGAAGGAAATTAGCTCCATCCTAATTAGGTGAGTTCTTCGCTACAGACACCAATTTTCATCTCGGTTTCTGAAAGTGTGATCATTTTAACTATTTTTATTTCTCACCACCTTCCCTCCCTTCCCTACTCTACTAACAAGTCAAGATCCTGCCAAGATTTCCTTGTAAATAAAACTGTCTGCATGGGTGTGATTTTGAAAACAGCCTTCAGGGGACAGAAGAGAGGCTGGCTTCTTGAGGGGGGGGGAGCCCCGGAGGATGAGGGGCAGCTGGGGGACGCTGAGGCCATGTCATTGCCTTTCCCACCTCCTACCATCATTTGCATAATTTGGCTGAGTCCTGGCTTTGTTCAAATCAGACCATTTGTTGTGGAGTGGTACCCCAGGAAGCCTGGTTCTGGGGAATTGAAGGAGAGGGGCATCTAGAAGCCACTGGACAGCCTTCTGACTCCAGCTACTCTCCAGATTCGGTTTCTTCTCCAGCCTGGGGAAGGGACTTTAGCAGACTCAGTTAAACTCTGGAACATTTATTGAGCGCTAAGACCCTGCTCTTTTAAAACAGTTTGACAAGGGAGACAATGATGTTCCAACAAAGGTAAATTCCGGATTTCAGAGGATATAGAAGCTGTGGATTACAGAGGAGAGAAGCCTAAATACATGGATCCAGGAGGTCTTTCAAAAGGATGTACTCCAGAATAGACGGACCAGAAGGGACGAAAGCAATGAGAATGTTGAGCAATTGGGTTTGGCTGGAAATTATAGCAAAGCACCAAAGAGCCCAGCCTGGAGGCAAGGGTTGTGTGAAAGAGTTGGGATTTCAGCCTAAGGGAAATGGGGAGCCACTTGAAGGACTATGAAAGGAGAGCAACTCCTCCCCCGCATCCCCCCCCCCCAGGTACCAGAGCTTGAACTCAGGGTTTCATGATCTCTTGGCTTGCTTGCTCATGACTGGCACTCTGCCACTTGGTCCACACCTCCAGCTCAGCTTTGCTGTTTAATTGGAGATGTAGTCTTTCAAAGAGTTCTGCCCAGGCTGGCTTTAAGGCCATTATCCTCCAAATCTCTGATTCCTGATTATATAGGATTATAAATGTGAGACAACTCCCCCCCAAGAGTAACATTTAAAAAATCTCTCCTAGTTGTGTACAATGGTACTGGCCTGTAATACCAGCTATTTGGGAAGTTGAAACAAGAAGTTCACTTGAGCCTAGGAGTTAGAAGCTAGCTTGGGCAACATAGACCCCATCTTAACATATCTTCACAAAAATGTGCAGTGGCTCATGCCTACTTACTCAAAAGGCTGAGATAAGGAGAATCATTTCAAGGCCAACATGTAAAAACATTCACTAGACTCCATTCCAAAATAACCAGAAAAATGCACAAGTGGAGGCATAGCTCAAGCAGTAAAAGACCAGCTTAGCAAGTATAAGGCTCTGCATTCAAACTCCAGTACTGCAAAAAAACAATTTAATTAAAAACATCCCATGATGGGTGCCAATGGCTCATGCCTATAATTCTAGCTATTCAGGAGGCTGAGATCTGAGGATCACAAGTCAAAGCTAGCCTGGGCAGAAAAGTTCATGAGACTCTATCTCCAACTAATAACCAAAAAAAGCCAGAAGTGGAACTGTGACTCAAGTGGTAGAGTAGCCTTGAGCACAAAATTTCAGAAACACCACCCAGGCCCTGAGTTGAAGCCCTGGGATCAGCAGATGCAGCATACACACACACACACACACACACACACACACCAGCAGATGCAGCATACACACACACACACACACACACACACACACACACACCCCTCTGCCATCCAAAGAAACCACACGAGCAGTTAGAACAAAGAGGAGAGGAAGAATCGGAGACTTTCCAAATCGTGCCTTGCTCTTCCATCTTCCAGCTGTTCGTTAGGAACAGGTGCCTACCTTGGCAGACTGTGTCCTCAGAAGCCTCCTAGGAAAGCATCCTTGCCTCTCCCCAGAATCCTCCTTGCCTCTCCCCTCCAGACCCCGGCTGAAAGGAAGATGGCCATTAGGCTTGGACACTACTAGGATGAATTCTGACACCCAACAGCCATGTTCCCAGTACTGCTCAGCCTCACAGTCAGCCTATCCCCACTCTCCTCGGCCCCAAGGTAATCTGTAGCTAAGAAAGATTCCTGCTGCTCCCCAGTAGGCAGTGAGACATGGGATCTGTGACCCAAGGCCTAGAGAGACCTCCAAGGGATGGGAGTGGCCAGCTACCTGCTAGTTTTTGGACCTCGAAAAGACAGCCTAAGACAGCCTCAAGTGTGGTACATTCTGTGCTGCAGAGGGGAGAATGGTCAAAGTGTCTGCTCACTTTCATTCAACAGCCACCATGGTCAAGTACTCAGGCTGCACACAGCCACCCTGGGAGAGTGTTTGGGGTCTAGTGAGAGACAACAGCAAAGAAGGCAAGTAGGCTGATTGATCTTTATGTCAACACTCCATACCTATAGCTTTTTTGGTTTTCTTCCTCTTTCTTTTTTCTTCTCTCTTCTGGTTCTGGGGATCAAATCCAGGGTTTTGTGCATGCTAGGCCAGGGCTTTGTCCTGAATTATATCTCTAGCCCCATACCTCTTTTGAAGTTCCCAACAAGATACTCTAAGACAATGCAGAACAGGATAATGGGGTGGACAGGCTAGCTTTCTATCTCTCTAGTAAGATACCTGAAATAAAGAGAAAAGGTTTAGTTTGGTTCACACAGTTTTACAGGTTTGAGTCTGTGGGCCTGTGCAATACAGCAAAACATGGCAGGAATGTGGGGTAGAACACAAATGCTTACCTCATTGTGCTGTAACAAAAGGGAGGAAGAGGAAGAAATCAAAGTCCCACAACCCCTTTCAAGGTCTCACCTCTAAACATCTAAAGACTTCCCACTAGACCCCACCTCCTAAAGTTTCTACCTCCCAATTGCTCCAAGCTGAAGACCAAACCCTTAGCACACAGACCTCTGTAGGATACTACATCTAAACTCCCTAACTCTAAGGGACCAAACCTCCATTCAGAGGGGATAGGAGCTAAAATGTGAAGAAAAATAAATGGAGCAGAACCGGATATTGGTGGTTCACATCTATAATCCTAACTTATTTCTTTTTTCTTTTTTTTTGTCACGGGGCCTGAACTCTGAGCCTGGGCTCCGTCTCTGAGCTCCTCAGCTCAAGGCAAGCACTCTACCACTTGAGCCACAGCACCACTTCTGACTTTCTGGTGGTTTATTGTAGATAAGAGTGTCATGGACTTTCCTGCCCTAGCTAGCTTTGAACCGTGATCCTCAGATCTCAGTCTCCTGAGTAGCTAGGATTACAGGGTTGAGCCATTGATATCCAACTAATCCTAACTTCTTAGGAGGCTGAAAACTAAGGATCACAGTTCAAAGCCAGCCCTAGCAGGAAAGTCAGTGAGACTCTTATCTCCAAAAACTACTCAGAAAAAGCCAGAAGTGATGCTGTGGCTCAATAATAAGAGTGTTAGCCTTGAACTCAAAAAGGATTAGGGCATGAGTTCAAGCCCTAAGACTGGCAGGAAAAAAAAAAAAAAAGGAGCAGCCTGGGCAGGAAAGTATATGAGATTCTTATCTCCATTTAACCAGTAGAAAACAAGACATGGAGCTGTGGTTCAAAGTCGTAGAGTGCTAGCCTTGAGCAAAAGAGCTCAGGGACAGTGCCCAAGCCATGAGTTCAAGCCCCATGACCATCAACAAAAAGGATTAGCCTTAGGAGATAGCCTGGAAGGTTTCTGCAGGGAGGGAACCACTGTGGCAAAAGCAAACTACTAAGTGGCTGAACCCAGAGTAAGGATGGTAAAAAGGCTGGGGAAGACCTTGTAGACAAAGTCCTTGAGTGCCAGTCTGAGGTTGAGCCTGGCTTGGCGGGTGATGGAGAGTGAAGATGGTTTCTCACTGGTAGGGCATTTTAGGAAGATTAAATTGGCAGCAGCTCAACAGCGCCATTCAACTAGCATGATGTGAGTGTCCCTGATTTGCCAGACCCTGACCAAGGTGCTGAGACTACCAAGGGTTAGATAAGAGCCAAGCCCTGGCCTTCTGGGAGAAATAAGATAATCTAATTACAGCTCAGTGGGATAACTGGATGGTAAGAGGGAAGCGCTTTGGTGGGGGGGGGGGAAATGTCTCCCCAAAACAGACTCCAAGAGAGCAAGATCTGATGTTCAGAGCCTGGGAGTTTCAATAATGGGGCAGCCATTGAAAAGCCAGGAGCAGTTTGTTTGTGGATACTTTGAGCTAATGAGAAGCTGGACAAAAACATTAAGGCTATAATTATTGCTCTAAGCAAATGGCATCACCCAGAAAGGAGGGGAAAGGGGATGGCTTTGGCAACAGAACCTCTTTTACTTGGTCCTCTTACCTCCCTCAGCCAAGAACATACCTTCCAGGGCTCCTTCTGTCTCCAAAAGCAAACCTAAGCTGACCTTCTCTGCACCTGTAGCTCCAAACTTCTGAGAAGCCAGCAAATCAGCCCTGGGCTGCTGCCTTTGCCTGCCTGCCTGCCTGCCTGCCTGCCTAAGATGAAGACATAAGTTATTTTTGACTGAGATCCAAGCCTCGGCCCTGAATTCTTTTGTCTTCCAGGAATCCCCCAGTCATGTTTGAAGTCTGCAAGTCCAAACAGCAGACAGTAGCTCTGGGAAGAGAACGCCACTTGGAACCCAACCACCTTCTATCCTCTGCTCCAGCATTCTTCCATTAGTGCTGGCTGTCGGTGAGATCAAACAGAACAAGGCTGCTAAATGGATTTTTCCCCTCCTTTCCTTTCGTCTCTTCTTTTTACTCCAGGCCCCCCCATTTTCTGAGCAACTTAAATCATTACTGAAAGATGTCTAGGTTCACAGACACCAAACCCTTTCAAAGAGAAATATAGGCACCCAAAAGTTCAGCTCAGGAAAGGACA